ATGACAAACAATCAACGACAAAAATGCAAGCTCATCCTTTCAACGAGCTCAATCCAGCGCGCATGATTTCATCCACAAGCAGAATATTCGATGCGATGACCGCACTGCAAACAAGAACAAATTATGAAACAGATATTAGAAATACGTTTGTGTAGTTAGTAAAGGCCTACAAATGGAAACATTGCATCGAGTTGAAAAAGGAAGAAAAGAGAGATACTCATTAAACCAAATTGGTAACAGTGACACTGAGAACGAGAAAGACTTATCAATCTCTCAAAACATTTGTCAAAATGAGAATGATAGTTTCAACTTCAATAAACCACCATACATATTTTACCTTAACGGGACGATCTACTGCTACACGATAGGTCAACCTAATAGGCCACAACGACTCTTGAAGGTTCTCTGGAATTGAATTACGAGCGGTGCTCCTAGCGCCGTTCCGTTTTTTTTTACTTCAGGCTGCATCTCCAGTGATTGCGCGTTCAAGGTAACAGGTTTGTCACTACTAGGAAGGTGGGTTCAGTCGTTCCTTCTGAAAGTAATTGCAGAGCAGATGAAATGAAAAAAGGATAGCAACGACAACCGGCGCACGATAGTGTATAGTTAATGGTTGTGCCAACTGAAATAAAGTGGCGGATTACATTTGCCACGTGGCAGCGTCGCTAGAAACTTGTGACGTCTCTTTTTGATTGGTTAGGAACAAGGGTTTTTAGTCAACTCCCTAAGGTGAACCGTCAGTGGCTCACCAACCCGGTGATAGCCCCGGATGTTGGTTTGGGTGCGAGATCCCAGGGCACGACGCCCTTCGTGGTATCCTATAGTGATAAATGACTTTTTGAGGAAATCTCGTAAGTCTGATCTGCAAGGAGACGATTCCTTACTGAGTGATCCTTGTTAATCTCACTAGAGCCCTCGAATTAAAAGTCAGACAAACATGACGTGGTGGCTGGAACTAACGCGGAACCACGAACAGACCCAGGTATGTCTTTCTAGAGACCCGTCACCCAGGAACGTGTTTCTTCAAGTTTTGCTTTTTGCTAATTTGATTGTTGTTCGACCGTTAGGGATCGACACTAAGTTCCACACAATCAATGCGACCAGTGGAACACGTAAGAGACAGCACTTTATAGGCGGTCGTTAGGTGAAAAATAAAAACTTTTAACGATGGGATGAAACCCCACGTGCCTGGTCTCTACATTCATCCGGCGGTCGATCCAATCGTAAGAATTTTTTCATTACACATTTTGTGTGATGAAAAGCAGTTGGGGCGGACCCCGCTAAGTCAAGTTTGGTATTGAACCCGACGACAGCAAAGCTGCCTAACACCAAAGCTGGATGGTGGTGGAGGGGTTCCAATCTCGGACCACAGGGCTAAAGCACGCCGATGACAGAGACTAAACCACTGCACCTTCTCGAGCCTATTTGCTGTAGTGACCTGTCTAAGTGTGAAATTGGACAGTCAAAGAAAGCAACGAAGCGCACGAACCTTGTGAGACTGCACTTTTCTATCTAATGACTTTTGAAGCATCATTGAACCTGCAGCTGTGACAAGCCAACCAGTACAGCGTATAGGGTCATGGAGGCACATCAGCCAACTCAGCACGTCGGAGGAGCAGTCTTAATGCAATCACGGAAAGTTATGAATTGAAGAGCAATGACTCTGTAGACCGGCTGTTGCCAAAATTAGTAACCGACCCTTGAAACGAGTCATGCAACCAGAAAAATCTCTACTACAAAACATCAATTTTTCATTGAATACGGCGGATATTTTTTTATCCGTAGCTTGTAGATGCGCGCGGAGCATTCCGCCCTGCGCCTTACGGCGTCGAAGTACGATTAATTCCTGATGAATCGACTGTCATCCAAATGAATAGTGGCGTGTTAAATCATTACACCGATCGAAAAAAATTCTCTCGGAATCAAGTTGATGTAAATTTCGAGAAAAGAGGAGTTTCCTGCACAAAAGTCGAACTTGGCAACTTCCAAAATAAGAACTGGGTTTAGATGTAGAAGTGTTCGTGAAAATAGCCGGGAGTTGAAACCGGAAAATGAAACGCGTCAGAGAGTTCCTCGATATTCTCAAAAACAAGCGATATGTATGAACTACCGCAGGAATATAGAATCACAGATTCGTTTGAGTGATAGGACGTTGTTGAGCATCATGGGCGTGATCATCGTTGAAAAGAACGTGTGAGCCGGACCATTCATATAGTTCACGTTTTAGGCCCCATGATGCGGCTTGAGGCCCGTTAATTCAGTGCAGTGAAATGAGTAGTACAATTTAAAACACCAAAATTCCATAAGATGCAAATCCACTCCCTACTTCAATCCACTTTTCGTCTACCTAGGTTTCTACGATGTTTGCAAACAGTGTTGGTGATCAGTTACATGAAACCACGTAACCTATGATAGACATCTTAACGTAAACCTGCTGATATTTTATATCATAACGGCGCATCTACATATTTTCACCCAAATGGGCAACCAAACCTGGCGCACGATAGTGTATGGTTGATGGTTTTACGAAGTGAAACTGAAACTAATGTGTAACATGCAACTGTAGAATAGGGAAACCTGCAGCCACAATCTCGAAAAAACTAGAAGTGCGTTCAAGTTAAGAGATTATTACAAGAACGATTGGTATCATGATACGTTTGTGTTCACTGTTGCAGTGGAATTTATTACCTGGTTCTGTCATGTTCTCTCGACGTTCGTATCGCAGGGATTTATTACTACGGCTAAAGAATATTCATTATTATTGTTATCCAACTCACATGGTCCTGCCCGAACTGAATTTTCTGCTCGGAGTAAGAAACGAAAACGTGCCGGGTGGCAGACTGTGCTTGCAAACATTCCTCCCGTGAAGATGACGGTTCCGTCATTAGTCAGTTCCAACAGTCGCTCACTGTTTAGCAAACTGGCTGAACTCACGCGTCTACTAACTCATCGCATGCACACAAACACATGTGATATGCATACAGGAATCGTGGCTCAACGAAAACATAGACGAGTCGCTGGTCAACAAACCTGGTTTTTGCAAGTTTTCGACAAGACAGAGAAAGAAGCCAAAAGAAGTCTGGAGGTGGTGTAACAACCTACATTAACTCTAGTTGGTGCGGCAAGTCCGAAACGTTGTTTGTACTCTTATGGTATTGACTGCCATACTGTCTCATGCCGACCTAGGTTTGCCCTTTATCGGAGCACAATTATTACAACTACATACAGTGCCCCTTCTTGCTCAAACTGAAATTAGTCCTTTCTACGATGCATTTATTCCCTTTATTGCTCCCTTAGTGGACGATAATTTAATTTCAATTGTCGGTGATTTTAATCATGGATCAAACCAACCTCTACTTTCTTTCGGTCTGTCAGATCTTTATTTAACGCCCACAAAAGGAAATGCTATTTTGGACAAACTCATTACTAATCACCCCAAGATATTCTTTTTCAAACTGAAGGCGCCAGTTTCGTCTAGTTATCACTGTCTCGCAGGTCTTAGACCAGAAGTTAACTCTTGCCTAGCATACCCCGCTTTTATTCAAAAACAGATGAACATCAAAATTCGGAACTTTTCAGCCGACAGACTCCTCCTATTCAGAAAATCTCGTGCTATTATCTCCTCATGATTATCCGTTCAACAGTCTCCCTGTTCTATTGAACATGTTACAGGATCAGCTAACGTGATTTTCAATCTATGCTGTCCTATGGAGACAGTTTTTGTTCACACTGGCAGAATATGTTCTCCGCGGCTAAAAGCACGTAGAAGACAAAAAGAACTAGCGTTCAAGATCAAACAGCCACTGTCAAACAACTTACACTACAAATCAGGACAGAGATCAAAAGACTGAACGCTTCATTCGCAAAGCAATTTCTGGGAGTTGGAGATGGAAGACGATTATGGCAAGGGATCAGATTGCTTTGCGGACAGAAGAAACGGAAAACGAATAAAATTATACTGCTTTTCTTTATCCTTCAAATGATCTTTTGTCTCCGTACCCCACAGATCACCCATCTACCATAGACCCGGTCACCAATGAGGTCTATCATCTTAAAACTACGAAAACCACGAAAGCAATTGGCCCCGATGGTTTAAGTTCGGCATTGCTCAAATATGGCGCTGGCTGTCACAGAGATGTTTGCGTCCGTTACTAAACAATCAATTCGCACATATTTGATTCCGGATTCCTGGAGACCGTTCACTATTGTTCCCACTCCTAAATCCGCTTTGATCTTTAAGCTTTCGTCCTAACACCATCACCTCCTCTGGACTTAAACCTGCAGAGCGCGCTTACTCACTCGCTTGCAATCTGGTATTATTGTTCCCAATAAACCCCTCCCATTTGCGTACAAGCCAAATAGATGCACTTTGGATGCCATCTCTTCAATGATGCACTTTATTTGCAAATCCTTGGACAGTTCTCAAAAGTCGGTTCGTTGTTTTCCTTGACTATTCCTCGGCTTTTGATTCTGTTCCACGATCTCTTCTCCTGCAGAAGTTAGTCATTCGGTTGCCCCGCCAACTTGTTGTCACGGTTAAAAGATTATTTCACAGGAAGGACTCAAAGTAGGAAAGCAAATGGCACTACTTCATAACCGTCAGTGAATAATTCTGGAGTTCTTCATGGTGCTATGCTCCCCCCCCCCTACCTATTATCGACTTTCATCAGTGACTTACCCCCAATCCCACCAGTCAAGACCTCCAAATAAGCCGATGACGTGGTCGTATGTCAAGCCTTCTCAAACCAATCGAACAGAGAATCATTTTCCGACAATTTGTTGTAAGTGCAATCATTTTCGAACCAACCCGGTCTCCGACTGAATATTTCTAAATGCTTTGAATGCATTTTTAGTCTTTCCCGAATCGAATACCCCCTGGATCCGTCATTAATTTCTTAACCATCACCAGAACACATACCACGAAATACCCAGGAGTTACCATAGATAGCGATCTACGGTGGTCTTCTCATGTGCTTGCTTGTGTTGGTAGACTGCGATGCTTATCTTTTCAAATACGCAAGCTACGAAAATTTTGCGTCAGCACTGAAACTGTGTTTCTTTGTTTACCAATGCATTTTTCCTATTATACTTTATTGTTCGTCCGTTATTTTCGCTGGTTCACTTAGAAAGGACTTCATTACCCTACGTCGCGGTTTAGTGATTATCAGCCGTGTTTCTCTTACTCCTTTAAACACGTTGATCTCAAAATTTTGTAATTTGCATATCACTTCATGTGAGAACTCAAAATATACTCAATGACCCCAGTCATCCACTCAATCCTGATTTATCTGCTTGCCGTTCCTACGCTTCAACCCGATCCAACTTCCGCTGCTTGGACTCCCGCATAAACATTTACTCCAACGCAACGGTTCTCTATTTGGCTCGTATTCTTACTGACACGGTGAGGATCCGTACCGAACTAATGCTGAACTTACAAAGATGAACATCTATTTAAGTTTTATCATTGTTATGTATTATTTTCATTTCATCTTTTTATCCCACTGTAAAGGTGAACACATTTTCGACTGAAATATGGGCGCAGTCACCTGCACAAGTCATCTATAACACAATAAGTAGCAAATCTGCCCATAACAAAACAGTATGGATAAAAACAATCGTTCGCATTAAGTCAACTAGATGAACATAATGGCATAGTGGGACACAGGTATTTATGGTAAGCTCCAATTTGTTCGAAACAATTTGCTGTTGATGGTTAGTAAGTACATTGATTTAAAGTGAGAAAACGAGTAGAACACTCACGTACCATGAGCTGATAATTTGCTTCTTGACAATGTAATTGTCATAAATGCCAACCTGAGCGGGTACCAGAGCGTCGCCCGTAACGAGATCGATCCCAACCATTTCGTTGGGTGGGTTTCCTCCGGTGCGCTTTTCGACGCGAGCGGATTCCTCGAGCAGTTTTACCATGGTATCCTGCACATCGTGACCGGCATTCATCGCTAGAACCTTCGGAATAACAAGCAACGCGTCAGCAAAAGCTTGTACACCAAGGCGTGCTCGTCCCTTCACTTCGTGTGTAAATTTCGAAAGCTCACGGTGAGCAACAATTTCGAACGCACCCGCACCAGGAACAACACATCCTGAAAATGAGATGCACACACAATGTTTAGCCAAAAGAGCAACAAACGGGATTAGCTCAAAAACCGAGGACGGATGGTACATATATTTCACACACGTCTGACGCAAGACTACACAAATCACGGTACAATAATCTTTATAAAAAAGTACTACGTTCCACGATTCGCATGTGGGCTAAATACTGTCAGTTTTCTTAGGTCAATGCTTTTTGGAGACGCTTGGTCGTATGGGAGCATTTCGTGGGGTGCAACGGGTGACCAGTCATAACTCTTGACACTCATCCCCCAGACCATACTGAGGCTTTCGGAGGACGAATAAAATAGTTTGTTTTTCCACAAAGTAAGGGGTCGAATTACTTTTCACCTCAGGCGGCACTTAATTTTATATATATATAATTATTATTAACTACGGGCCACACTTTCGTTTTCAATTTTTCTTTCACATTTCGATCACTTGGTTCGTTGAGCTCGAATTGCATTTTCCCAGGGTTTTTTTATTTTTTTACGGAGGAAACGGTTTACTATCGCTTAACCACTGAATACTTCCCATCATTGAATATTGTATCCATTCACGGCTACTCTTACTGTCCATCATACTTTTGGACAGCGTTATTTATTAGGTCATAGACCCCGCCATCTAATCTTCTACCACTTGTCCATCGCCGGGTGACTGCGAATGTTGCTTGTGGGTCTGAGCCTCCAACCAGTCGGAGGCATTGGATACCTCAGGAGTCAATAGCCCTGATGGAGCAAAAACGGCAAGTCCTGATCTGTCATGATCAAAATAGAGTTAGGCGGCAGCTACATCGTCGGCTCATGAAGAGTCTCAAGAAGAGCCGTGAGAACTGGTGGACAACACCAGCTAGTGAAATGGAAGTGGCAGCTGCATCAGGGAAGTCAAAGACTGTTCCGACTGATACGCAACACGGGAGGTCGGCGAACCCCAGTTAGTGGAACAGTCTGCGATAAGTGGGGACGAGCTATTCACAATAGGGATGAACGAC